CTCTCTCTCTCTCTCTCTCTCTCTCTCTCTCTCTCTCTCTCTCTCTCTCTCTCTCTCGACGAGAAGATTCCGCCAGGATAATAATGCAGGATTACAAAAAAAGATTGCACGGACGGATAAATAGATGAAAAAGAATGAGTGTGTGCGGGCAGATAAAATATAACAAGCTCTTCGAGTTAGTCGCGATGTTGATACAAACACAAGGAGGCTCGTGTCGTTCGATTTCGTGAATAAGTAAAGAAGAAGATAAATCAAGGTGTGTACGTTATTAAAATGTAAATATTAAAGCGGCCGGATCGCCAATCGACCGTACGATCGCGCGGAGTAAGCGATAAGAGGCAAGCTATAAAGCGCGATACCAGAGCGAGAATGTTAGAAGAGCGATTCGAAAACCGCGGAGCGACGAGGTATGTATTGGAAATAAGCGACGCGCGAGTATTGCGAAGTCGACATGTCACAAGAGACGGGAAGAGAGAGAGAGAGAGAGAGAGAGAGAGAGAGAGAGAGAGAGAGAGAGGGGAGAAGAAGAGAGGGAGAGGACAGACGGCGGAAAGAGGAAGGGAGTGAGAGGAAGGACGACGAACGGAGAAAGAAGCATTGGCACGCTCTGGTACCGACTCCTCGGTACCGCGCAACGGCCCCGAAAGCACAAGAGTCACCGTGAGACAGACGGAGCAGCGCGGGACCGCTGTTAAAGTGCCGAGAAAGGAGCGAAAAGAACGAGACGAGGAGAAAAGGAGCAGTTACCTTCGGCAGATCGGCAGGTCGCCGGAATGACGACGACGATGGAGGAGAGAGAGAGAGAGAGAGAGAGAAGGAGAGAAAGAAAGAGAGACGGAGAGAGAGAGAGAAAGAGGAACTGAGAAAGACAGACTCGCCTTTTGCTCCTGTGTTCGTTGTCCTGGAGGCGGGAACGTGTCCAAGTCGCTCGCAACACCACCACTCGATGCAGCAACACGGGACACAAATTTTTCACGGACGCGCACCCCTTCTCCACGTGCGCACAGTTTCACGGACCGTTCACCTCCGACCCGCGAGGTCTCGTCGTCACTCGCGGGCCGCGATTCTTCCTCGCGATCGCCGTGGCACGCGCCGTGGCTCCTCCGCGACGGTCGGCTGGTGGAACGCGCAGAAACTGGTGAACGCGAAGTCACAACACACGCCGCGCGATTTCACCGCGACGATCTCGGCGAAAGCCGCGGCGATCTCCGCGAAACGAGACGACGAGGCGAGGTGGCGACGTGGGGCACGTCGTCGTGGGGCGCGTCGTCGTCGAGCGAGAGCACCGTTCGCGGTGCCGAGGACGTGCGTGCGTGCGCGCGCGCGCGGGACAGAGCGCGAAATCGCGCGTACGAATGTCTGCTCCGTACTGTCGAGCGCGGCGCGGAGCGGAGCGCGACAACAAGTAACCATTCGAAGGTTATGCCGCCTGGGCCGCCATGTGCAACCGTTGCCTCGTTTGACTCTACCTGCCCGCCTATCGCCCCGCGATTCTCCATTCCTCCCACCCCTGGCGGATACCTGGCCGCGATACCGTACGCGAGCAGCCTGCCTCGAGCGGTTTACCTGGCGAATGCCGAGTTCGCACGAGTCCTCCCGAGATCGGTCGACGATCTTCCTGAGCGCCATTCAAATTTTGCGCGCGCCGCCAAGCGCGCCAACCAGGGGAAAACGTCCGGCACTACATCTGTTTTCACGGTATTTTTGCACGGATGTGATCGGATATTAAGATATATGAGAGTTCAAGAGAGCACGAACAACTAAATAATAAGTAACAATTGATTCATAATTCATGAATAATTAACATTCATGAATAATTAACTCCGCGTACATCTTGATACTCGATAGGATCCAAGCAAGGGTGCCGAAAACCGGTGAGTGCTCCAACGAGTGCCGGCTATTGAGCGTTTTCCCTTATTCGACATCTCGCGTCCTCGGCGCGCTTTCAAATGCGCTCTTATCACTTATATTAAACGTGTCCGACGACACTGCAAATATGTATTCGAGTCGGAGATTCGGTTTGGTAAACGATAACGCGAACGAGACGAGCCGCGTGCAATGCTGTACGTTATGTGACAAATTGAAACGAATGCAACGCTATAAGTACGCTTGAACAAAACGGATAAATAAGTAATGATTGGAATAATTGACACACGATAATTAGATTTGGATAAGCACTGGTACAAATTGCGACATGGATGTGAATAGGATGGTTGAACGAATTAACTCGCATTCAATATTCACTTCGCGGATGCAAGGTTGAAATCGATTACGATAAACCCGTTATCAGCGTGCTTGCGGGATATAGCGGCACCATTCATACGAACGGATCATTACGTTATCGTTTGCGCTCGTCATATTAAAGACTAAAGAGAAATTGTAATCATTATACGGCAATAATGTGTAACTTACTTATGTGAAATGTTGTTATGTGTACGTAAAATGAACAATTTTTTTAAGCTGAAATCACACGATACGCGATTTCACATACATGTACGCACTAACTGACAAGCTGTAAACAGTTTAGTTCACTGCGTAGATCTGCCAATATACAATAGCGATTCATGCAGTGAACTGAACTATTTGCATGTCGATCAGCATGAACATGGCAGAAAATACGAAATCGTGTACCATGTGATTCCAGTTTTACAGATCTGTTCAGTGCTATTATTATTATTGTTGATGTTACTAAGAGGGAAGTAGGTTTTAAGGCTTCTTTTTGGTCAATTTAACCAAACTTTCTTCTTTTATAACTTTTCCCTTGTTACCACTTTTAGTGCTTTTTACCAAATTTAAGCTGCCAGTATATTTTTAAATATGTGTTTCCTTCAATTCTTTAGGTGTTATTGTCGCCTTTCCAGTATAAGTTAATTTGCGCTGGCAGGTTGCAGGGCATAATATGTGTTCTACCGTTTCAAACTTTTCCGCACAGAATTGACTATGTAATCCTCAGCTTTGCCTATCTTCTGTAGGTGATATTTCAGGGAGCAGTACCTTGCAGCAAAAGTCCCGTAAACACTAATTTCCCTCTTACTGAGGTTAAAGATATCTTTTCCTTGGTCCTCCTTGTCTAAGCTAATAAAGCTTTTGGCGTGCCTGTGGCCAAGAAATACTTGCCAAAGCTTACTTTTTTCTCTCCTCTTCCATCGTATAATGTTTTTTTGATGTAATTCTTGGAGAGACCGTATTCAGGTTCAGGTTCAATAAATATTGTTTCAGCACCTTTGCTAGTATATCTGCCATTTATTTTCATGTATTTCCTTTCATGTCCTGCTACCCACTATAGGGAAACTTTGTTATCTTTCGCCAGTTGAGATTAATAAGATATTTCCAGCTCGTAGGTTTGTATGACCTTAGAATCTTTAGAGCCGCTTGGCTGTTCTATTCAGGTGCTGCTTCAACCGTGATTTTGATTATCACTCGAGGAAAAGTCGAGCAGACGAAAATGTATAGATATCGGGTCTGAGTTTACATTGTCGCAACTCGCTTATCTACGACCAAAGTCTTACTTTTATCCCCGTTAACTCTTCCATTGCGCGTGACACACAATAACGATCAAATGTTATGCGTTTGTCTGACAAACGGAGATAACGCGCGAGTAGAGATCGATCGTAGCCAGCCGTGCACTCGAATTCGTGTGTGTTTGCTCGAGGGACATTCGTGATAAAACAATAATACCGCCCGACGGAATGGAATGTCTCATTTGCTTTAAAAACACCTGTTCAAAGAATAACACGTCGCAACGTTTGAAATAACGAGGCATAAGTGAACTCAAATGAAAAGCGAGCAGCTACTTCCGATTAATCCTAGATTGCCTTGCTCTTTCCTCGTTCTATACGAGCTTTTGATTATTCTACGTTTGTTATCCATTTATTATAATCCCCGAAATCTTCCTGATGAACAGTTTCACGAAAATTATCCCCGCTCGTGTTGCAAACGCTCGTGTTTTACTTTGCAAAGAAGAAGATACCACCCTATCTTCTCCGCTCTTTATTTATTTCTGCTCTTTAAAGTTTCGATCAACCTGTTTGCCGCCACCGCGCGCAAATTGAGAATACGAATATTACAAATATATAATCGACTCACCCATTTTGCTGCCGCCTCTTCTCCGGACACGCAGACATATCGACCGGGACTGGATGCACTTGAAACAAACAAATGCAATTTATTGGAATCAAGTGCAGAATTGTGCGTCTGAATAAAAAGAAAATATGCTGATGCGCTTGAAACAAACAAATACAATCGATTACAATTAGAATTAAACACATAAGAAGAAAACATATGTATCCCACATAGATAACTTCTTGATCAACTTATTTAAACCGACAAGTTTGACCACCAAAAAGGAAGAAAAACCACAATGCATTACCTCGTGTATGTATTGAATGACTTCGTTATGAGTTGCATCTCCCAAGGTGCGACCGTTCACTTCTAAAATTTCATCAGCCGCCTCCAGATCCGCATTATCCGCCGCCGATCCTGCGCGAAAACAAACACATAATCCTGCTATAATTTGACGTTTAACGACAAAGATGCTTAATACCGAATGAAGAAAGCAACGAACGATTCATTCCGCGTGTGTACAGATACGCTGATGGTGACGCTTTGTTTTCAACGAATATACCAATGTGCACTGAGACGCGATGGCGCATTCAATGATTCATATGAAACGAATCATTAAAGCATGCAGAAATCGCTGTTTAAGCACCCGTGAATGTAACATATAATCTGTTTCGCAAGCGTCAACGTATTTATCAATAAACCCGACCACTCAGGAAGCCCATCGGGCGGGCCGCAAACGAACTATAAAACCAATCATATTTTTCCCTCAATCCTGCGCAAAATCGGGCGTTGCCAAAGTTTATTCTTTTTACTTTCTCCTAGCACAAAATTTAATCAAAAAACGTCAAAGACACGAACGATCTATCAATGCTTTTTTTTACGACTCCCATTGTTTACCAAAACAACGTTGGAAAGGCGCACTTTTGGATATCCATTACAAAGTGACACGAGTAGTTTTCAGTAATTATTGATATGAAAAAAAATGTGTACTCTAAAAAAAACTGGTGTAAACTAAAAAACATTCTAAAACGACACTTCAATGACAATCATCAACATTATATCACACTGAGAGAAAAAATATCTAAGACACAGCAAAAAAAACCTTTATTTGCGGTGGGCATTATATGACATATCATCACTTATATCAGTATAAAATATTGTTTCAAGCAAGAAAATGTGTATTTTCTTAAAACCTTAGGAAAAGCTTTCCTAAAAAAACAATTATTCATTCTATTTGAATGAAAGAGCTTGGAGAGCTCAAGTGAACATGCCACTAGTATCCATTAAATATAAATATCTGCTATTTCTTAGATACTTTTTCTCTCGGTATACCAGACGTTTCTTTTTATCCTTTCGTCGATAGGTATATAATAAATTCTGAAAATGTTTTCCTTGCTTAACTGAACGCTACGTCCTCGGGATAAATATACTTGTCGCGACTAATTTACGCTTGTAAAAAAAAGGAGGAAAACTGCAAAATGTATGCGCAGGTTGTACCAACATTCCGATATTATGCATATTTCTCACGTGCATTGGGTGACTGTACGTTACCCTCGAGATACAATCGAAAGGGATCCTCCGAGTGAGAAATATCATTGAAGAGAAATCAATGAGGAAAAGTTTAAACACATAAAATAAACGAGTCCTCTTTGGAGCGACGGAGCGCTCGTTACGATAAGTAAACATAAAGGTCAGCCTATAAATAACACGTCGCGAAACGTCCTCCGTGTAAATCGTCGCGCATTACTATAACACGCCGTGTAAGTCGGAAATCCGTCCGTCGCGCATTTCCCGTTTCCCGAAAGCGTGCGACGTGTGCACGACGTGTAAGCTCAGCGTGTATGATCATCTCTAACGAGAAAACTTTCACTTCCCGCTTAAGTTTTCAGCTTTCTACACAATCGCCGCGTTCTGGCGATAAGTGCGAGTTTGACGAAAGACTGATCGTTAGGAGACAATAATCGGAAATAATAACCGTATTAATAACGGTCACTTGAAACTTGCCTCATTTGAGACACTCGGACGTGTATCGACAATCGTTACTTGAAGTCTGACGTCAGGTTTTCATTTGAAATTGTTGAATCATATAATACCTGTGGCATACTGTATCTCTGTAATCGCGATTCAACCGAAAAACTCTCACCGAACTCTGAACGCAAATATGAGTGTCTCGTGTCAAGGTAAAAAGTAAGGTATAAAATTATATAATTAAATATTTAAACTTTTAACATAAAAAAAAAATATATATATGTATAGAAATATTGAGTATATATATATATATATATATATATATATATATATATATATA